CGCACAGTCTCAGTGTTGACCGTCAGAGTCACTCGTCTTCTATCACTGTCATCAGTCTGTACGCCATAGATAATAGGAAGCCCTCCTCTCCAGTAGAACTTKGGTAGTTGACCTGTCAAAGTACTAAACACGAGAACTTTATCTGTATTATTTGTATTATCTGTCATGTAACAATGTAGCATGTCTTTATCTTTACATGACGTCGACATTTAATTATGGCGTATTGTACTAAACACGAGCTCTTAATCTGCATATGACGTCATGTTATCATGACGTCATGTTATCATGACGTCATGCAGTAACATGAAATATTTAAAGGATATTTACTATGAAGTGCATTGTTCCATTTCTTACCTCAACAGGCGCGCAGCGTCACCGTAAGAGACTGGCAAGGTAGGTATTGCAGCAAATTCTTTCTTTATGACCTCTGAAAGTGGCTCCCGATAAATACCATCTGGGAAAAAATGGATGGTTAGTAATATCTCCACTTGAAATTACATTCCATGGAGATGGTGCTTCAAGAGGCAAACTTCATCGACGCAGKCTACTTCTTGGGGGAAAAGAGGCATTCTTAATATATAGTTTGTTAGGTCTCCCCCTTCATTCGAGGATTTTGTCTCCGGTTTACCTACTCCTACGAAACCGCCTATCCAGCTAAATTCCACTTCCAACTGTGAGTTGGCTGCGCCCTGACTTAGATCAGCTCAGGGGCTGTTTCGGGTTATCGATAAATTTTAAAAGATTTTTTGATAACGCTTGATATTTTGATATTTGCTTACCAATAGCAGGGTAGAAGGGGGTCAGCAAGTCACCTCCACCTTTAGATGCCTTTATGGAACCCCGGGGTACCGCTGTACTGGGTAGCCAGTTGTAGTCTGGGTATACCTTGTCGGGACCTTCTCGCGCAAAGTCTTCTGGGTCGGCATACAATATCACACCGATTGCTCCTTCCTTTGCTGCGCGATCGACCTTAAGGCGAGACAAGAGATAACATGTTTTCTTGTGGTTAGGCCGAGGCAGAGTGAGAAAGAGAGAGAGAGAGAGAGAGAGAGAGAGAGAGAGAGATAGAACTGGACAGAAAAGAAGAGATATAAGCTCTTCCACAGTTTTCAAATATTTTACCAGACACAGGAAGACCAGTAGCAACATTTTGATGGTTACTTACCTTCTTTCCCCTTCCCCCACGGCCATATCTAATAATAGCAATTTTCCCCGTCACATTAACTCCGTTTTCTTTAAGCCTCTTGAAGTCTTTTGAACTACCAAAATACGCATAAACTAGCTTGCCCTGAATATTAGAATAGATCCAACTTATTTTCAATCTACCATMAGTTTGAAAAACAACTATTTATGAAGCGTGCAATTATGGGAATTCATTAATAGGAGCATGCGCAGTCAGTCACATTTTTGTGAATTGTTGGTTCCTAGCGTTTTCTAAGCGTAGTCTTAGCTTAATGATTCTTATTGTTTAATAAATGTAGGACCATACTTCCAGACATCGAGTGCTGAACCGTCGTATGGCAGCGCGAAGCATTTRCGGCTACGCCGGAGATTTCGACCCCGACACCGCTATCCGGAGAATTACAGACTGATCAGGAAGCTCGGCCGAAGCCTAAGGGAGAGGTTAGTCGGCCCCTAGACCGTAGATGATTAACCCCTTGCTATGAACAGCATACTCGATATTTTGATTGTATCGCTGATCGTATAATACGCATACCTACTCTTTTCCATGTGGGACGTGTTTTTTGCTTACTYGTTTTCGGTTTTATAACCAACGTTAGGTTTAGACATGCGCGCATGTGCAAAGGCGARAAAAAGTTTTTCATTTGCATATATAGAAATTTTGAAGCAATTTTGCAAAAAAARCATATMAATTTACCTCGACGGTACCAGACGGTGAAAACGCGCTGTACGGAGGCACAACATTGGTCATRTTTTCAGCTGGATCTAATATTTTCTCAAAGGGTCTGCTCCTAAAGAGCTCAACKCCCGTCTCATCTGTTAGCGTCACCGACCCTGGTAATCCTGCAATCGATAGAAGAACGTTGTACTTCTTGATCTCGACCTTGTCAAAACCGTATTCAACGAATCGTTTTTGAATTTCTAGGGCTTTTTGGTAGTTTTCTTCTGAACCTGCAACGTGTGGTGCTCCAGCGTAATATCTGAAATCAATCGTTCAACAATAAGATGTAAATTCTAACATTGATTGGTGATTGTGAATCAAGGGTGGCTTTGTCAGTAGAACACTCACATCTAGCTGGGCTCTAGGCCGTTTGATTCCTGGACAGTTGGCATCAAATTTGAGAGGAGTTTGGTTTCGGCTCCCTTTAGCCGTTTGGTCAAGGGTTTTTTCTCCGGGTTCTCCGGGTTCTCCGGTTTTTCTCCCTCTGCAAAGCCTATCACGTTTGATTCACTTCCATCAATTTCAATTGTGAGTCAGCCGTTCCCTTATCTTAATCAGTCCAAAGGTAGTTTCAGGTTTCGATCCATGCCCTGACTTAGATCAGCCCCGAGCTACGTTTAATTGTTTTGCAGTTTGATTCGCGAGTTAGCTGTGCCTTGACTTAGATTAGTTCCTGAAAGGGATATTAGGGTTCGATAAATCGATATCGAAGGGGCACGTTTTCATTTACTAAGACAATATTGAGCGACAATAGTATTTCACCGATAATCCATGATTTTGTTAAATGATATTGTTATTTAAATAATTAGTAGGMCAGTAACTTACTCTAAATTTTGTCGTATTCTGTCAGTGGATATCTCATTAACTGCTTCAGAGTGTAGTGCTGATATATCGAGTACACTCTTGGTTAAGTCCCGCTTAACGTGTGACTGCGCATGCGTTCCGGCTAAAGCACATGATGCCAAGATCAAGAGGATTAGAACACGATGTAAAATCATAATGTTTATTTGAATCGAATGCTTCGTTGTGAGTTTTTGGTCAATCTTCATGATAATAGCCTGAAAGAGAGAAAAATCATTTAAGTGCTTTTGATAGGGAGGAAAGTATGAATTATCTGAGAAGGTATATCAGAACAATCAGAAGAAAGAAAGAAAGAAAGAAAGAAAGAAAGGAAGGAAGGAAGGAAAAAAGAAAGAATGAATGAAAGGAAGAAGTAAAGAAAGAAAATATTAAGGAAAACTAAACATCGAAATACACTCACATAGCGGGAGCAGGATTAATATGAAATTGTGTAATATTAAAATGCTTAAGGTTTTTGATTCTAGTCTTACGTTTTGCTCATTTTCAGTCAGAAATCAATTGCCGGTGAAACTTGGTTTTGAGATTTTGATTCTAAATCAGTTAAGAACTCGGCTATTATACTCGATTTAGCTGTCATGTAATACAGTAACAAGGACAATTAATTTTGGTGGCCAATGGTTTGTAGTTGACCGAAAATTGGCAAAAAAATAGTTAACTGGCAAATGACCTCAAATTAGTAGTTAACAGTTAACTTATATTTCTTGATTTTAGTTAATATTATGGCCAGCGCTCGTAAAATTACCAACAGTTTACCTTAGTAGTTAACTGTAAATTGGGTACCCCCATTTCCTCCCTCTTAATTCACCTGCTCACCTACTCRAAAAGAAATCATATGATTGATTAAATAGACTGACGATTCAAGATGTCCCAACTTTGCCATTATTGACTTTCRAAACCGGGTAATAAACTTGTACAGTTCTAAGGAATATATCTCAACCTTTACTTTAGCAAGGATGAGAAACCTGCAATAGAAACGCCCCGATACTGATAAAAAATAAATAGTATTTTTTTTCGTGTTTTGTTTAACTTACCGTAAATAAACGTCGAGGCCAATTTAAAGCTGGTTCTGATCTTKGACTTGTTATCTTTAATTGGCTATTCAGTAGAGCTAACTAAGCTACTCTTATGGTCAAACTTTTCTGGAAATTTGAGAATTAAATTTCAGATCTGAGTTTCATACTATGGCCGTTTTCGGGTACAGAAACCACTCGTAAGAATTGGGAAAAAAATATAAGTTATATTGACAACATTTCGGTGGGGATAACTTATTAATGGTGTCATTTTATATTAATATTTGATGTATTATAGACAGAACTCGATGGTTGGTAAGCAGGTGAGCGAGTCCTTGTGTTTTGTACAATGTTACAACCTGTTTTAGAGAGAGAAAAGTAAATTGGGGAAAAAGAAAAAAGCAACCGAAATCAGAAGATTTAAACGGAAAAAGCTGGGGGAATTTTGATATTTTTCTATTTGTGATATAACAAAACCTATAAAAGGGAAGTTATATGAAGTTTTAAGCATTTAGAGGAACAAGCTTAAAGAATGAATTGAAGTGTAGAATAACGGAAATACAGCAACAATTTGATTAAATGTGTAACGTTTGGCCTTTCATGAGTAGGTTAAGCCAAAGAAGCCAAAGCAGTTCAGTACTAGTGACCATGGCTTTTTTCACCGCTTGAGATTCAGCCATTGTTTAGCATATACAAAAGGTTTTTTAAAATCTCTTTCAAGTCTGAATTGTGAATTTCTTTTATATATCTGGTTTTAGAATGCGAAAGCATTTTTTGAACTTCGACTGGCAATTGGTCGCTTAATACAGGTATAAATTAGTACAAAAAACTCAAAAATAACTTAATTCTCTTTGACAATTGGCCACCAAATAGGTATAAATCAAGCACAAGAAGTGCAAAAAAWAACTCTTTCAGACTCTTGAGACTTTGACAATTGGTCGCCAAATTATAGGTTTGTTGCTTAAAAAGAGGTATAAATTACTGYAAAAATCCTCTTCTGCAAGTGGTCGGTAAAAAGAGATTTTTCACTTTATAGTTGGCCGGATAATAGAGGTTCTACTTAAGTTATCCTAGAAAAACGTGGCTGTRTTCTTTTCCCGCCATTTTTGTGTTGCTAAGTGACATTTTGACGCGCTAGTTTGTCCATATTTAGTGATGTAGACAATGGATGACCATACATGGACAGTGCTTACATTAACCTTGCTTKTCTTCAAATATACGGCGCTAATTTAACCTCTTTTATTCAACAGTTTTTCCACTAAAAATGCAAGGAATAACCCTCAACTTTTGTGGTTTTATCACCTAAATTCTTATCCACAAATCCTCAATTATTTATACGGAGAAAAGGGTTTTTCTTCTCGTGTTTTTGGCTGCCAAAATGGAGGAAAAACAGGAAGGAAAAACTTCCTAAAACATTTTGGCACGAGTGGCGAACACTTCAAAAACACGACGGTTATTGACCTGAACGACTGGCATTGGAATTAATCCTTCCTTATATAATTTCTAAGGGACTATGGAGGCTGAGGTAGGGCTTAGAAGTTATTYAATACTCTTACATGGCGGGAAAAGGTCGCGCTTGACTTGTAAGCCTTGTAATCGTACCCTTGTGTGATTGAATTTTACGCGCATTTAACGTATACTTTGTTTACAGTTTTTCTATCTTTATGCGCAGTGGTGTGTATATGACTGTGACCTATCCAATATTATTCTTTCTACAGTTAARAGACTCGTCCAGGATTACAGAGGAAGCAATTCTCGATAGTCTCTTTTACGCCTGTGATGTTCAAAACTCTGGTTTTGTTCCTGTATCAAGGTTGATAGAATATCTTCGTTCAGCCATCGCCGTTGATTCTCCTGATAATAATAATCTTGAGGTAAAGATTTATCTTCTGATTATAAGTTTAAACTCTTCTTTCTTCAAACCACCAACAGTTTAATGCGTTTATGCTTGAGTTCCTTAAGGTTGTGGGTTGTTTCTGGAATAACAATRTTTCTAAAGTGATCCATAAACAATATTGGTTCAAATCCAACAGCGCGGGATAAGCATAGATTATGTTCTTTTTTGTTTGTTCTTTAATATTTTACTTTACATAAACCACATCAAAAGCTGTCATATCTAAAAAAATCCAGATGTATCCTAACGATTCCAGCTTTTCAGTCCGATTTGTGTTCTAAAAACACAGATTTGAAGTAATCAGAATGAAAGAATGGAGGATGTTAGGATGAACAAATCGAAAGAAATCGTGCTCATTAATTTAAAATGTGTCGCTGATAATTCTTTTATTTTGAAAACGTTTTTATACTTAACACAGACTATGTACATTGTAATTTTTAAAATAAGTTAAGCTAATTTTTAATATTTCTTATCGGCGTACTTTTTTATAAGGTTAATGTATAAAAAGAGGCAGAATTTCAAAGTTATTTCTACCGTGAAAGCTTGACAGATGTATGATTTCAAAATTCAAAATAAGTATTATTTTGGCTAAATAATCACTTGCCATACATTATCATAGCCAACCATTTTACATTATGATATAATAAGAATATTTTTCTTGCGCTTAATAGCCACTATGTTAGCTTAGCCAAGAATTTAAGTGCACGGTTTAAAAATAGATGAAAAAATCTTTTATTCTAGTTGCAAATTGTTGTTAATGCCTGAATATTTTGGCACCAGGGATTGGTAATAGGATAAATGTTATCAAAAATAATCATTAAATTGTGTTGTGTATATTTTTAAATAATGCATGGAATTTATAATTTTAGTACTCCTAATAAATAACTAATATTAAAATAATAATTATAGAACATATCAGTTTAGTATTTGATGATTATAAAAATGAAAAAATAATACTCAGGATATTATTCATTGCCCCTCTGGATACCAATTTATCTATCTAGTAATAATAATAATAATATGTAATAATAATATGTTAGTTCAGTAATAACAAACTTCAAGATTAAATTCCCTTTTTGAAAAATAAAGATGATTGGCAAATGTTTAAAATTAATATTTGTAATAATTCTAAATAGAATTCCTTATGATGTTTAGTAATAATATCTCTGTTTGATAATAACAGATTTAACGATTTGATTTTTTTTAAAAGAATGAAAATTTTATATGTTATTTTATTAGGAATAATTTTCTTTTTTTGTTGTGCCAATTTATATAAAGAGTAGCTTGATAGATGTTACAGTATTCATTTCGTGGGATAAGACTGAAAGTCTTTTAGTAATGGGATTTTTGCTTAAGTATATTTTTTGTTGTTTCTCATATATTTTATTCTGTTTTGTAAAGAATATATATTATCAACAGCTTAATTTATTCAGGGAAGGATTCTTTTAAAAATCCTGACATCTCAAGTGTGCAATAATTGAAAATTGGATTCCAAGCAAGATAACATATTGATGAATCTTGAGCAATTTGTTCTGAAAAAATTTTATGAGCTGTGATCCTTTAAGATTGTTGGTCATATTCTCAATTTAATATTGTATTTAACTGCTAAGCTTTACTTAGTATTTATAATTAATTTTATTTTTCATACGATACTCAGATAAAGCTATTAAAAGCAATCACTCCCAAGAGGATACTTAGCATAATTTGTGTGGGAAAAAGAGTATGTTTAATATTTGAATTATTTCTCACATGCGTTGACTAAGAAAGCATAATATACATGACAAAATAGATTTAAAAAGATCGAAATATTATATAATTGTGTCCTGGATTTTTACGAGATTTTTATTTTATATGTTGAAATATGAATTGATATTATCCATTAAAATAGATGTGAAAATTTTGATTTATGTAAGGGTAATACTTAAAGTGTTTCTATAATAACATATTTTCAAAATATTTTATAACAAGTGCCTGAGGTCTGCCATAGTGTGAGTGGCTTTATAATAATTAAGCCAAAACATAAAAAAAGCTGTATTATTACAAAATTATAAATATATTAATTAATATACATTTTTTTTTTAAATGTTAATAATCATAAGTTTACAAGTCAAAAAAGTGTGAATTCAAATGGAAAATAATTCTATTTTTTTTAAGCTTTCTATTTTTTAACTTTTATGTCATTAATTTTATTTTTGTTGATAGAATTCACTTGGCTCTTTATTTAGTAGAACGCAACGTTCACTCTAGTAATAAATTATACAAGCTCTGCATTCTGCATTGTACTTGAATTATAAAAACAATATAAAATTTTATTCTCTTGATATTTTTGTATTTTCCAATGTTTACCATTTATGTTTGAGCATACATAGAGGATATTACATAGGCGCGCGGAGATACGAAATTTATCTTCGAGTGTTGAAAAGATCGTATCTCCAAGCGCCCATGTAATATTCTGTTTATTATATAATTATCAATGGAGTATGTTTTGGCTTTTTCAGGCAATTATTTCCGTGTATTTTTGAATAGTCATCGCAATGGTGTTATCTTCACACGTGAAAATAACATGTTATTTTCACGTGTGAAGATATCAATTTTTCGAAATAGAGAAAAATAGATATTTCATTGGTAATTATATAATAATACATGTTATTTGTTTTTCTCAAGCAAGGATATGTTATTTATTGCAAGGCAAAAGAGCTTCATTTGTTTTCCTTACTTGGTGGGAATTTCCATTTTAAATATTGAAAAGAATATTTTTTTATACCAAATATGTTGATAGTAATTATTTTCTTTAGCACAAATCATAATATTATGCTTCCTTTATTTTGGAGAGATTTTATTCAAAGACAAATCATCTGCGTTTGCACACTGCTAAGTGCTTTTCCATTTTGTTGGAAAATAATAATAAAAAAAACAACCTGATACTCTTCTTTAATGGCCTATGAATTACAACTTAATCTTTTTAAATAAAAAATTGATTTATTTCATTCACAATATATAATATTACTAAGCTAAATATTTAATCCATTTTGCCAGGGTGTATTCTAGACTAAACACTGCTAAACATAATTTGAGCCAGAAATATTAACCAAAAAAGTATTCATCATATTATGATAGCTTAAGGTTTTATTAGTAATAAAACATATCAGCAATTTATTTTCCTGCAAGCAGTCTTTCCCATTTTCTATTTTCCTTTGGATTGGTGGAGAGATAAAGTATGCATAGACTGTATCTATGATGGATCATTTTTTTTCACTTTTCCCCCACTTCACCAAACCAAAAGAAAATAGAAAAATGGGACTGCTTGTAGATAAATAAATCACTTGGTATAATATGAGCTTGGTTAAAAACATCTGTCTATACGTAATCTTGGATCTTTTATCATGACTAGTGTACTCACTTAATATAAGTAAGGGACTGGTCATGAAGTATAGGGTGGGGGGGGGACAAAATCAAAATACAATCAGTGTTTTTTTTTATCTTGGCCCATTATAAAATGATGCTGAAAATGTGATGAGCCAACCCCAGTTTTGAAGCAAAATTGCAGGCCCACCCTTTTTAGTTGTCAAATTTTATTAACAGCCCACCCCTTTGAAAGAGTTCAAAATTATGTGACCCACCCCCTGATCTTGCCCCCCCCCCTACTTTATGACCAGTCCCTAATAATAAATTTAAAATAGGAGATACTTATATCAATAGATCACACATAATAAGTAATTCCCAAAATCTAACCAACTAATTATAAAGTCATATATTTAATAAGCAACACTTTGGTGTACACTTTTAAATTTACATACAGAAATTACAAACACTATACACACACAGGATGTTATTGATAGAATTGTTTTTTTAGAGGTTAAGTTACAAACTGATCCAAACCTATCTTTATCAAGTTGCAAAAATCCTACATGTGCTGTAGTATAGTATTATGCCTTAGTGCAACTAAAAAAAACTAAGAAGTTTTGTGCCGTTCAGAATTTACCACTCTTTTCACTGCTATGCGCTTATTGAGTCAACAGTCGCAACAGGGAAACTGGGCAATACACTTCCGTCAATCAACTAAATTTATTTATCGATATCTTTATATTCTCTGATTAGCGGCATTGTATAGCCCTGTTGCGACTGTTGGGCTGGATCAGCGCGTAGCAGTAAAACGATTGAGTGGTAAGGTAAAAATGATAAATAATTATTTCCCCTTCATTCTTTATTTTGTGCATTATCATCTTTGAATTTACAGCCATATTCAAGAAAGTATTAAAACAGATTTGAAGGGAGTTTGTTAATTTCCCCCACATTCACTAAACCATGCAGCAACAACATGATAGCAATGCCAATAACCTAAAAAGGAATTTTATGAAACCAGCCCAATGTTCTATGTGTAATTGGCTTCCATGAATCAAATGTCCATCTGAGTCTGAGTTTAGTAGTATTTTTTGATTAATGGTTTGCAAGCCAAAAATCCAAGTGTCTCACATAATGATATACTTCTGATTTTATTTGGATATATTCTTTAGTTTGCAGATAATCTAGATGATCTGTCATTGATTCTTGACCCAGACGGTAAAGATGTTCATATTGATATTGCAACCTACCAGGCTGGCATCAATGAATGGATAGAAGACATCAGAAAACGAAGGTGAATTAATCCTTATTGGTGTCTGAGCTCTATAAATAGAGGATATTGCACTGTGGCGCTAAGACACGAAGTTTATCTCTGAGTGGTGAGAATATTTCAGCAGTGAGTGCCATGAACATGTGAAATATTTTTCAACACGAGAAGATAAACTTCATATCTTCAAGCAAATTAGTGTAATTTTAACATTACATGGCCGCTCGTTCACTCTCTCACTCTTGAGATATCAATTGAACACTCGAAGATAAAATTCGTATCTCTGCGTGCCGATGTACGTAATATCCTCTAATATATAGACACACTCAAAAATAAAAACTTGTTAAAAACATTGGAAAAGACATCATCGATATCTTCACTGGTGAGGATCTGGATTAATATGTAACTGAAGTCCAACATTGTAGTTCATGAATATGAAAAATATGAGTGGCCAGGATATTTCTCAGTGAATATTTAAGGTGACCTAAGATAAGAAACATGACAACCACTTATCTTAANTTCCTTCGCTGTCCCGCCATTCTCGACCGTTACGGACAGCCACTCTTAAATGATCAATGAAAATCTTTTGTCTGAAATAATTCAACAATAATATTTTTTATTTTTTTTGACTTTTTTTTTTTTTTTTTTTTTTTTTTTTTTTTTCCCCTTTTTTTCTTTTCTTTTTTCATCAAATAACATATTGTAAATGACCTATGAGATACCCGGGCGTCTATTAGATTTTCGTAACAAAAGGGGGGCGTTTAATAGATAAGAGGTGTTTATAATTATTAGAGACAGGCGTTTATTTCTATCTTTAAAAACTGAAAATAATAACGCAGAAATATGCCAAAAATGTAAGAACAGCAACGAGAAATGTTCAATAACAGATCAAAGTATTTGGTAAACGAAAACGTGAAGTGGGTCTTGTCGTTCCTGGGTGGTATTTTGCAAGGACAATTTGATGAAAGATTGCTGACATTCTTAGCAGGGAGACTAAAGCTATCAGAGAGCGATACCCGTACTTCGAGCTCGAAGTAGAGGAAGATATGATTAGAAAACTATTATTGATTAAGCAAGAAACTGAATAAATTAATGTTCATTTACTGTTTGTCTTTCAATTGCTTGAGTAACTTGACTAACCTTTGGAGGGGGGCGTCTATTAGATACAGGGCGTTTATTAGAGGGGAGTGTTAAATTTTGAAGGATTAGAGGGGGCATCTATTAGATACAGGGTGTTTATTAGAGAGTGGGCATCTAACAGGTCATTCACGGTAGTTCTCAAAAAGTTATCATAGTATAACTCCCTTAAGAATKATCTTAGATAAGAGTCTATCAGTAAAATCAGTCTATCATACTTTTTGTCAATGGTATTTGTGGCATTTTATTCAAATTTGCTGTTAGCCATTCTTGCCATTGACAGTAAAAATTTTTTTAGAATATTACAGCTGTCAAAATACATGACATTGATACAGAAAAAAAACTAGTAATTTGGTGGATATCCTTTTAGTAGTAAAGACTGAGTAACCTTTGATTTCGATTTCACATTGGTTGCATAGATTTAAGAGCTTGAAGGCGAACTATTACTGAATAGTGTACTAAGTCATGTATAGCTTAAATTCTTTGTGCTCAAAAATATGATAATATTAATAAAAATGCTCATTTAAAATTGGTTAATTTTCCACCCACGATATTTAAATTGTATTTTTTACTACAGGTAGACATAACAACTCTCTCTGTCTAAATGTTTCAGCTTTGCAAGTACCGATGAAGACTTTCTTTCAGCGGTATCAATCAATTGCGCAGTGAGTATATCAAAATGTCTTGCTTTTATCTCATTGTTAAATATCATTAATTATTATTCATAGTACTAATTAATTGCTATTAATAATAACCATGTTTGAATGTCTACTGAATTCAAATTTGCACTGCATCTGGGGCCTTATTGTCATGATCAACTGGGCTGTGAAAACCTCACCTGTTACGATTTTTGTATAGTCACAACAGATTGGTTAAGTAAATTAATAAACTCAATTTTGTAATATTAGTCAATGACATGTAAATTGGCTTGGTTGCTGTTAAAGATGTACATGTGCGACCAAATTTAATGTTATGGACTAGCTTAAGTCTCATGAAATTATGGAAATTTATTAGACATCTGAATCAGTACAATTCAGCCACTCTTTTTTACTCAATAGTTATATGATTGTATTTTCCTCATCTTTGTTTTATGGCCCAGAACAGCATTCCCACCTGAGTGTCACTTGATTATGATTAGAAGCATAATAATATTTTTCATATAAGTTACTTATGGACAGATATTTTCATAATAATAAGTTGGGACCCCATTATTGGAGCCTTTACAATTTGCTCTGTGCTAATTTCCTGCCAGATTTGTGCATGTTTAATATATTTTTTCTTGAAAAATCTTTTTAAAAAAAGTTCATATGGGTATAAATTAATGTCATGACCCAGTTGAGAAAAACAGTCTTCCTAGATGAAATTTATCTGGGAGTCTGAAACCAATGACAGCTGCTGATGAGACTAAAATCTAAATGGCATTTTAAAAAGTGTAACTTTGAACAATAAGAATAATATTTATTTTGGCTTGAGGCTGATCCTGTACAAATATATTTTTCTGGAAAAATAATAGTGGTGTTATAATGACAAGTAGAATTTATTTGAACAGCAGGCACTCAACTGGGAATTTGTACTTCAAAATAATCAAATTTCTAGTTAAACATATACTCATTGCTTACCGTTATTATAATGTTTCTGTTCTAGTCTCCTACTTTTGAAGTTGTTCAAGAGCATGGCCATCAGCAAGGTAATCATTAATCACATCATTTATTCTCCCATTTATTTTCCCATTCATTTTCCCATTTATTTTCCCATTCATTTTCCCATTTATTTTCCCATTCATTTTCCCATTTATTTTCCCATTCATTTTCCCATTTATTTTATTTTTATTTTCATGAGTAATGTTTGTGTCTTTAATCCTTATTTTAAATCAATCAATATTACCATTTATTTTGCCATTTATTTTCTCTTATTTTAATGGATAATGTTTGTGTCTTTTAATCCTCAAATTGAAATCAGTGGTTTACTTTTTGTTTTACAGCAACAAGCACACCAAATTTAAGCTCTGACAGCGTAGAAGGAATTGGAGGAGAGTCTCCTAACAAGAATGACTGGTGAGAATTGTTGCTAAATACAGGGTTCATGCTACTCCTTGAAATCCTTGAAAAGTCCTTGAATTGAAAACATGTTTTTAAGGGTGCTTGAAAAGCCCTTGAAAATAGGGGGAAATGCCAAAACTCCTGGAATACTCCTTAAATTTAATGCAAACTTAAAGTTRTTTCTAACTTACCTTTTAAAATAAAAAACAATTAAAATTGGTTGAAGAGTTTCTAGTTGCTTGTTTACTGGTTGGTTGCGTGTCATGCTTGTTTTATATCTAAGCTAGTGGCCCCGGCTGAATTAGCTGCACTTTAACATTGAATCAATGTTTAAACCACGTTCTAATACAAAAAATCTTTGTCCATGAAAATCGAATTTTTGTGCTTGAAAAGTGCTTAAAAAGTCCTTGAATTTTGTAACGAGAATGTAGCACAAACCCTGTAAATATCATATATCTAGGTATTACTTCCTGTTTGTCAAGCTTATCTAACGTAATGAGTGCTATTTGGACCTGTTTTTCTTTCCAATAAGCCCTTTGCAGTTAACGGCCAAGTGTCTGTACTGAAGAGCAATTTTTTTTGTTTTTATTTTAAATTAGTGGCTCCTTTTAGCTAATTGTAAAAAACTGAATATTAAAACGATTTGTAACCAGTGTGTTATGAAATGCAGTTTTATTAYGACCTCTCGAAACAGGTTGTAGAAAGTTTGTTTGCTCTCCAGTAAATTTCACCCATGGGAATCAAAATGTTCATTCATTCACTCTCAGTGAGTTAATCAGTGTGATTACTGAACTGCAAAGGGCCTATTTATCATGCATAATAAACAACTTCAACATTTTAAATCTCTGTAAATGTACTTGCCAGGAGTTATTCTTTCCTAACCACGTAAGGTTAACTGGGGTGGGGTGGGTTTGGGTTGAGGGGGAGGGGGGAGGGGGATGATGATAGGGTCTTAATAATCCCCACTCCACTCACCTTGAAAAACAAAAGCAAAAGCTTTGGTAAACTCTTTGGTATTTGTCCTTTAACTGTTAGGGATAGAACAGCAGAGATGATGTCAACTATTGAAACCTTACAGCTGAACAATAAAAGACTATTAGAGCAGCACTCTATCATACAAACACAGGTTAGTAATGAATGTTTAATGCAATGTTTGATATAAGTCAACAATCAAATTAGTGGATGAATGAATGTGACCCCAAAATTGGTATTATTAGGTTTTCAGTATTAAGGCCTTAGTAGGGTGTTAGTTGGGTGTTGGTAGGATGTTGGTAGGGTGTCAGTAGGGTAGGGTGTTGGTAGGGTGTCAGTAGGGCAGTAGGGTGTCAGTAGGGTATGGTGTTAGTAGGGTGGATGTAGGGTGTCAATTTTGTATTGGTAGTGTCAGTAGGGTGTTGGAAGGGTATCAGTAAGGTGTCAGTTGGGTGTTGGTAGGGTATGGTGTTGGTAGGTTGGATGTAGGGTGTCAGTTTTGTATTGGTAGTGTCAGTAGGGTGTTGGTAGGGTGTCAGTAGGGTATGGTGTTACGAGGGTGGTTGTATGGTGTCAGTTTTGTATTGGTAGTGTCAGTAGGGTGTTGGTAGGGTGTTGGTAGAGTGTCAGTAGGGTATGGTGTTACGAGGGTGGTTGTATGGTGTCAGTTTTGTATTGGTAGTGTCAGTAGGGTGTTGGTAGGGTGTTGGTAGAGTGCCAGTAGGGTATGGTGTTACGAGGGTGGTTGTATGGTGTCAGTTTTGTATTGGTAGTGTCAGTAGGGTGTTGGTAGGGTGTCAGTAGGGTGTCAGTAGGGTGTTAGTAGACCCGAGTCAGTTCTTATATATTTTAATATGATTGCTCTTCTAAAATATTATAGATGGAGCAAACAGAGGAAGGAAACTCTCAACTTAATAATGAACTACAGACATTGAAAAAACAACTACAAAGGTAACAACTTAATGATTACATTCCTTTCTTGTTTTGTATCATTATGTCCAGACGGGAAACAACGAGGAATGCCTGGCCAATAATAACTAAGTAAATCTTTTCATTTAAGTGTCTAGTCGTTCTAGCGCTTTTGCACTAATTACGCACTACCAATACATTTGATGTTCTATGCACACAACACTGTACTCGCATTGATTTTTATGGAGGGAGGAAACCGGAGAACCCGGAGAAAACCCTCGTAGCATAGGAGAGAATAACACATCAAACAAACTCAATTCACATGTGGCGATTGCAGGGCTCAAACCAGGGTGACCCRACCTGTTGGACTCACAGCGGTGAAAGACGACGCATTAGCAGCGTAGGCCTCCCAGCAATTAATTTTTCAATTACTACTTTAATTACTAATTATTACTTTGTGTAACCCCTAACATGGATTTTATTTCTTTCAGTTTACAAGGAACTGCAGCTAAATGCAAGGAACTGCAAACAGAAAATTCAGAACTAAGACAATCTGGTAAAGAAAAGAAGTGATACTTAATGTCATACTAATTTCAATCTTTGAAAAATTCCAAGAATTGCTTTCAGTATTTTTGAGAATTATTATTTTTCTTTTTTTTAATCATTAGTTGCAGAAACAGAAGAAAAAATGWATGACCTTAACAAAAACAATTTATTTCTGGTATGTGTAATTATATATAAATATATAAACCTTGTTACATTCACTCTGATTGGTTGATAACTGTGGTGTGTTAGTGAATGGAGCACATTTCGCCATCCGGTTAGCTCAGTTGGCAAGAGCATCAGTCTGTYGTAGGGGAGGTTGTGGTTCAAGCCTCGGCCGGACCAACACTCAGGGTCTTAAAATAACTGAGGAGAAGGTGCTGCCTTTGTAATTACATCTGCAAATGGTTAGACCTTCAAGTGGCTTGGATGACCACTTTAAATGGCGGTCCCATCTCTCCACACTTCATCATTACTAACCAATATTGGAGGGACGTAAAAGAACCACTGAGGACGTATGCACATGGTAAAAGAGCGCTTTATAAATGTATATCTTTTATTYATTTTTTTTATTTCTGCTGGAAGATAATTTTTCTTTGCTTCCCTGTAGCTCAAAGAAAGGCAAAACTTGGAAGCCTGCATTGAGCAATTACAGTCAAAGGTTAGTTTTGATTTTTAGCAGTTAAATCACTTTTATTTCCATTAGAACAATTACACAGAATAAATTCTGCTAAATATGTTGTATGTGGGACTTATATTGAACAAGAATTTTGTGTTTAAATTTGAATAAAATGTAAAAAATGTAAATGAAACATGTATTCAATACACAAAAATAAAACTACATAAATCCAGGATGTTTATTTATCTGTTTATTATTTGTTTCCCAGCTGATATCCGTGCAAGTTCAGCTTGAAACCTTGGAGGACGAAAGACGAGCATTAAACGAAGCATTAGCAATACAAAAAGTATGGTTAATATCCATGCAGCTTACTACCTCTATTGCGTTCTGATTAGGAATGCTTAAATTATACTGGAATCAATTGAATTTTACCAATACCAGGGGCGGATCCAGGAATTTGTTCAGGGAGGGGTGCAGCGCACATAGTTAACCCAGGGCGGGGTGCACCCCTTAGAATCAAAGGGAAAAACATTTTATTTTGTATTGGTTAAATCTTTGAAGTAGGGGCACRAAGTCAAACCAGGGAGGGGTGCGTACCCCCTGCACCCCGCACCCCTCCCCTGGATCCGCCACTGCAATACCCTTCAATAATTGCTGTTTTTACTATCAATAGCAAGTGAACATGAAACTTGAAGAATTACAGAATGACAAAGAAGACATAGTGCAGGTACAGTATGTTGGCAAATAGTCATGGGGGTATGGTAGGCATTTGCCTGTATTGTTATCAGGGACTTTAAGATTTGCAAAATCTACAACGGCAACGTCAACCACAAGTGTAAATAACTTCACTTTAGGGTCCGGGCGTCTTCAAAGTCTGTCTTCCCTGTGGATGAGTTGACTTTACTGACAATGTTTTAAATGAAATCTCTAATGAGCAGAACCCCAAAGAGAAGTTATTCACACTTCCAGTTGACATCGCTGTGGTAGATTTTGCAAATCTTAAAGTCCCTATCATAACTGCAAAGCTTGCTTCTCACTACAGACGCAAGCAGACCCAAATCCATCAGTTCTCATTATGAAAAGAAGTGGTGCAAGCATAAGAGAATGGGGAAGATTTTGCTTTTCTTGCATTGGCTTGCACTTGTGTTTACCTGCATGCTTGTGTTGGCAGGTGCTGCTATTAAGAATCAGGCTTAATCACCCCTACTATCATCATCATCACCTTTTTTCATTATACGCACCACCACCCTGCCCCAGGCCATGATAACTAATTTTTAAATCTTTTTTTTTTCATTCTCAGGAATCTTCGTCTAAAACCGAATACCTTTCATCTGTAATCAACGAGCTCTCACTTGCTAACGAGGTTGGTTACAGTAAGCAATTTATTCTACCTCTGCTGATTAGCGCGTTAACAATAATCCTCATTCCAGGACTTAAAGACAGAGAAAAACAAGCTACAAGAAGCAGTGGCAGATTTAAATGACGAACTAGTAAGGTATGGAGAGAATAGTATGCTATATTTCTGTTTGTGCGACGAGCTGAAGTTTCTCTGCTCCTATTATAATAATTGATATTTATTGCCTGTCATCATCTTTGGTGGTGTCATCATCATCAACATTGCAAGCATCCTTTTYGTTACCATGACAGTTGGCATTCTCATTAACGTAAACTTGAAATCCACAGTCATTGACATCTAATCATTACCACCATCATCATTCTCATTAACATAATTTTTTCGCCCTTTACAGTCATCATCATCACCATCATCATTCTCATTAACATAATTTATTTCACCCTTAACAGTCATCATCATCACCATCATTATTCTCATTAACATAATTTATTTCACCCTTTACAGTCATCACCATCACCATCATCATTCTCATTAACATAACCTATTTCACACTTCACAGTCATCATCATCACCATCATTATTCTCATTAACATAATTTATTTCACCCTTTACAGTCATCATCACCATCATTATTCTCATTAACATAATTTATTTCACNTTCTCATTAACATAATTTATTTCACCCTTTACAGTCATCATCACCATCATTATTCTCATTAACATAATTTATTTCACCCTTTACAGTCATCATCATCACCATCATTATTCTCATTAACATAATTTATTTCACCCTTTACAGTCATCACCATCATCATTCTCATTAACATAATTTATTTCACACTTCACAGTCATCATCATCACCATCATTATTCTCATTAACATAGTTTATTTCACCCTTTACAGTCATCATCATCACCATCATTATTCTCATTAACATAATTTATTTCACACTTCACAGTCATCATCATCACCATCATCATTCTCATTAACATAATTTATTTCACCCTTCACAGTCATCATCATCACCATCATCATTCTCATTAACATAATTTATTTCACCCTTTACAGTCAACATCATCACCATCATCATTCTCATTAACATAATTTATTTTGTAAATGTAAATGTAAGCTATATTTAACCAGGGTGACACATTCAGCCACAAGGCTGGTATCCAGAAGGGCCCTGCATTTTCACCTTTTACAGTCTTCGTCACCATCATCATCATTATTTTCATCATCATTTCAATACATAATTCTTACCCCATTAACTGTTTATTGTAGACTACGAAAGGGCAGCACGCCTGATCCATCATCACCATTTCGAACTCCATACCAGACAAGTACACCATATAAGAGACCTTATTCACTGAAACAAGAGTTACAAGAACAACTAGTAAGTACTGCAAACACCTCCTAGATCAAGGGCGGATCCAGCCAAAATTTTAGGGGGGGGGGGAGGCTACTTGAGTTTCTTCCGTCAACACAACGAAAAACAATTATAAAAAGCATCTAATTCTTCAGTTTTGTTTTGTATTTTTTCTGCTGAAGGGGGAAATTTTGCCCCCCCCCCCCCCCCCCCCCCCCCCTGCAGATAGTCTCATAAACATACCATATTCCTTAATCTGAAATAATTGCACCTTTATCTTGGGCGTAATGTTTTCCCATTCCAGACCATGTGTCATTCTCTTGAGCATAAGATTATTTGTTTGAATTGTATCCATATTCATGTGTCTTCTCATGCGCGACCGTTAAATAAAGAAATGTTACTCTAGGGAATGACACTTGATCTGGAATGAGAAAAACATAACGGTTAAGGTAGAGAGGGATACTATTACATTCGTGTTGCAATAGGAGGAGTCGTTCTAGTGAAAAGAGATTAATGTGGTGAAGTAAGACGCGGGTACGGTTTTCATATTCTAGTCGTGACAAATTCACCCGATTCAACGATTGCTTATATCACTGTGGCAGTTAGAGTGTGTGTGTCGAAATTTAAAGAAATCTTTATCCCGATTTTTATAATACAGTCAATGTCATTAACGTCGTCCACCGAAAAAAGACATTTAGACATTTACACATTTACACATTTAGACTAAAAGAAATATCACGTGTTTCCTCGAACGTTCTGGCATAAAACAAACGCTGAAGCACAATTCTCCATCTTAAATCCTCACTAAATGGTCGGGGCATTCTGGATTTTCGATTCACGTGTTGAATTTTACATTTAAAGTTCAGGCTCACTTTAGACTAAATGTCTAAATGTGTAAATGTGTAAATGCCTTTTTTCGGTGGACAACGTTAATGACATTGACTGTATATGCCGAAGGGTTCTACTCATAGTCATGTAGGTTATACCTTAATGCATGTTTTTTTTTTAAATTGTAAAACAGACATTTGATACCAAAGGATTACCATCGCCTCTAATCGGTACAAGCATGCGTAGTGAAGACCTTAGTATGTCACCTCAGCCTGCAGGAGCCGACCATTCGTGGCTCTCCACGACATCAAGTGATGCAACCAATACCTCGTTAGAAAAATACAGCATTATTGCATCTCAAGTGGTGAGTTGTGGATAAATACCGTGTCCCTTGGGCTTGATGTTTTTTCTTTTTTCAGTCCATATGTTATTCTCTTGAGTAATGTTTCTTTCTTTATTGTTTCCCATACGTTAGAGCAGTTTTCGTATGACTGTGAAAAGCTCGGTGCTATATGATGTTTTCTAAAATTTTGATTGGCTGTTTTTCCCCTCAAGCAATATGATTGGTCTGGCAGTACCGTGACCTTGGCGTGACCTAGTCCACGCTGTGTTCATGCCGTGTATTATATTGGGATTGAGAGTAAATTCTGGCGCAATGAGGTTGATGTTTCGTACCCCTAGCCGTGTCAGAACCGCATTCCTGCCACGAGCTTTTCCGTCACATGAAATTTGTTCTATTCCCTTGGGTAGTGCTTCTTTTTCTTATCGGTGTTCCCCTTATTTTTGTAACACATGTTATTCCCTTTAGTAATATGCCCTTATACTAATAAGGCTTCAGAAGAGTGAGATCTAAAATGGGAAACCAGTTGTTGCACTGCACGTCTGTATCGCACGTTTTTTACAGTTATATACAAAATATTATTCTTCCAGGCGAATGAGTTCAAGGAGAAGAAGGAGAAAGCTTTGCGTCAGATAGAAGAGTTGGCGAACTTGGAAAAAAGCCCAGAGATGAAGGACAGGCAGAAGGTTAGCTTAACATGATTTTCACAAACTAAAATCTTTCGAGGGTTTGAGGCGGGGACTTACTACACTACAGAACTGCCTTGATATACACCGAATGACTTCACTGACTAGCGACTAACTAGCCTCATGTTCACGTGGAAACATAAAAGCGTTTTCACATGTATGAGAGGCTAGTCAGTACAGAACAACAGTTATTCAAATTGGTCGCCATATTTCGATTCGGTGAATAGGATTACTGTGGATTTAGCGGGAATTTTCGCGCCAAAACGTTGGCTTGATGCACCAACGCTGGGTGTCTCTACACCACTGTCTTGATATAGGATTCCTGTGTTTTTTCAGGTGTTAAAGCTTCAGTTGAATCAGGAAGTGGATCAGTTTGCTGAGAAGGTCAATTTATTGTGTCTGAAGAAGAAAAACGCAGAGAAAAGATCAGCTAAACTACTATTGGCTATAAGAAAGCTAAAAGGTGAACCCTTATATCAAACACTAGTCAAAGAATAAATGGCTTTTTAAGGTTATGGGCACAGACAAAAGACGGAACGAAACAGGCATTAACACAGACACTGATGGAGAGAGGTGGGCAGGCAAGCAGAGGTAGATAGACAGATGGACATATGTAGCCAGAGACACAGACAGAAAGACAGACAGTCAGACAGAGGGAGAAAGACAGCAGCTAGACACATAGACACATAGATGGACTTAAGGATGACCAAACAGACAGACAGACAGACAGACAGACAGACAGATAGAAAAAGGTCGACATAGAGAGACAGACATACATTCAAACACTTGCACACGCACAAGCCATAAATACGCAAAGAAAGCTTGTTAATCAAATTTACAAAGTATCAAAAATGTGCCCAAGTCACTGCGCAAGGGACGGACCATTAGATTTTGAGGGGGTGGGGGGGAGGGGGGTTGGGCAAAAACCAAAAACAAAATTCGAGCACAGCTTTAAAGAGTGAAAGAAAATCGTGCATAATAAAATTGCCAGAAAAAATTCCAAATTATGTCCCAAAAAAAAATCTTGCACACCCATGAGGCGTAAAAAAAATTCCTGCTAAAAATAAATTGCCCACTCCCCCCCCCCCCCCCCCCCCCCCCCCCCCCACCCAAACTTCCTTCAAAGGTCTAATGTTCGTCCCTAAATCAGTAGATTTGTATTTCAGAGGAAAGCCAGCTACTACAGGAAGAGAGAGACAAAGCTTATCAAAAGCTTGGTAACATGTCGTTAAACACTGATCACCTAGATACAAGGTTTGTGGTATAGATGTGGATTGTTATTTTTTAGATTGCCTAGATTGCTACCATAGGTACAATGTTYCTATCCTAGTAAAAAGAGTCCTTGAATATGCGCACGTCCTTTAATTTACGTCGTTTGAAATATGAGCACGATGTTGATATAGGAATTTGTTTCAATGTCCAATCATTTTGTTTTACTACTGTGTTTTGTAGGGTAAACGAGCTGCAAAAAGAGCTTCAAAGTGAAAAGACTAAATCCAATGAAATGGCTGGTAAATTAAAAGGACTAGAAAAAGAGTTGACTGCTGCTAATGCCCTCTTAACTACCCTAAGGTATGTTTCTATGTTACCTCTATTTCAAAATAGGTTGTCGGTGCCACAATAGACAGGCGATAGAGGTTTTGCACCGTCACGTGACGGCAGCCATGTTGGATGGCAGGAACAATACAATCGTTTTACACAAGAAAGAATTCCCGAGAGCAAAGGGATTTTATTGTTCTGCCATCTAACCA